GAAATGAATCCAAGTGCTTGATCGTCGATGATTCGCTGACTCGTGAAGATTCTTCTATCTGAACGTGCGATGGTTGAGAGAGATCATCGAAATGCTCGTTCATTTTAATCATTTTACATAGAAATATAAACGATTGTGAAAATGAAAGGAAGATACGTGTCTGTGTTGTTCGGTCGTTGCTTCGAACCGATGCTATCGCGATGGCTCATTGTTCGGCGACGTTTCAGGAAGCCGTGGAAGTTCGCGGCTGGGAAGTAGGCTTCTTTTGAAAGTCGGTCAGGCCGCGAAGGGAAGAAAGAACCGATTGTTGGGCAAAGAGCAGCCCTTGGCAAAACGGAGAGCGGCTGAAGAGCAGGAAAAAGAGAGCGGCTGGTCGAGTCGAGTGTTCCCGGGTGTAAGTGAAGCCTTTCGCGAAAGTGCTCGTCCCGCTGACGACGAGCTTATATAGCCGTGTAAGTCGGGAAAGAAAAGCCAACGATGGAAATAACATACTCCGCTAGTGTCTCCTACCGTCTGCGTCTAATTCGTCGATATCTAATACCATTCATTTTGTCAATTTCACTTCGATAAATTAATTAACAAGCTAAAGCGAACTAAGGCTAGATTCGCTCTAGAGCCAACCCTTTTTCGGCCATTTCCGGTCAGACTGGAAGTGGCAAAAAAAAATTTGTTAACCCACTAAACACAATGGAGCAAGAATTTTTTCCCCCCTTCTCAAGATTTCCGATCTTAGTTGGTTAATAAGTTATCCGAAATTATCTATTGTCTATCGCCATGATTTTTTTATACTTTGCATGAAAATGTTTCACAGGGAATTTCTACTTTCTTTCGAGCTAAGTCCGCGACGCTCTAAGCAAAGAAACGGGGTACGCCAACAAACGGCACCAGATACCATAAGTCGATCCCGCGTTTCAAGCCCGTCACCATTTGAACGAGGATCAGGAGAAGCCGCAGAAGGAAGGTAGGGAAGGGTACGCCGCCTGTGCAAATTTGCCTTCGACCTCGTTTCGAGGATCAAGCTCCTTTCGCGCTCTCGTCGCTCTTCAACCAAACTCCTCGAACCTCTCTAGCCAGCGATATATTCGGGTAACGTGCTTTGCCGATCGATCATTGGCCGGTTCATCCACTTCGCAACCGGATCGAACTACGCTCGAATCCCCCCCCTGGTTGGAACCCGGAAACGGGGTCGAATCACGACCCTGATGCTCCTGCATTATCGAATCACGCTGCAAACGCGATTAAACGAAAAGTCGAGGACCCTACGATAGACACGGTATTTCCGAGTTACTTATTCTAACAACAATTTGCTACATTATTTACCGATCTCCTATGTTTCTTCGATTAATTCTAAATAATTTGTATAAACCAATATTTTCATTCGTAATGAGTAACCCTCGTCAAGATGATTAATACCGTATTACTTTGAATTTAAATTGCAGTAGGATTTTAAAATTGGGAAATTAGAAAAAATGATTTTGTAATAAGTATTGAAAAATAGGAAAAAATTTAATTAACTATAATTATTATAAATGTAATAAGCGACCTAATTTATTGAGAATCTTCTTCAGATATATTAGCACTTTTGACATCTTCATTTAACTTCATTTTACTTTGAATTTAAGCCACACCCTCATTTTAAATTCTATGAAATAGTTTGAAAAACGATTGAATTGTAAGCGACGTACAATATCAATCATAGTGTCCGTTCGTCTAGTGAAAAAACACTGACTTTATAGTCCAAGTGTAACCGCAGCAAATATCATAAATCTAATTATTATGAAATAATTTTATTAAAAAGCGTTAAAATAATTAACATAATCATCTGATAAAAGCTTCAGAATATTTATTTCAATAGTTTATTTGAAATTACAAAATATACTAGACAAACTGACACTATTGTTAATATTGTACCTTAGATGGAAGATACGAAAGTTGGATTCAAAATAATAGATAATAAATGAATGTAGGTATAAAATATATGGATTCAGTCTGATACTTGGAGCAGCCGAGTAAGTTCAAGGTAAACGTATCACGAAATCGTCCACATGTGAATGTTTGACCCGAGCGAAGGTAATTTTGTCCCAGGCTGTTTTGATCCTTGAATAAACGCGCTACGAAGTCATCTTCGACATGGAACTAGAGTACTAGCCGTCAAAGTAGCTTTGTGGTGTTCCTCGACAGCCTAGCGAAGGCTGCGCTAATGTTGACCGACCGGCTCCTGTACAAAGCCAACGAGCACCGGAAACACGAAGCCTCTACTAAGTCTACTCTACACGCGTTCGATCAAACTACACCCTTAAAACTCGACCGCATGCCGGCAATTCTTGCTGAACTTTCATTTAGACAACCATCTATCTCCTTCAATCTCAATGTGAGTTTTAATCAGTAAACAATGTTCAGAGCTACAACTTTGCAAAGGGTATAGCAGGATAAAATGGTCAAAAATGCCCTTGAGCCGATTTTATTCAGCAATGCACCATTTTATAGCTTATAATAAAAAACCATTGTACAGCAAGTGTCAACCCTGTATCTCAACCGGGATGGTAGTTACAGGATAAGAAAGAAAAAGTGGTTTTTGCTATATTTTCCCTATTTAACGACATTCAAAAAATCTGAAAAAATGCACAATCATAAAGAAACATGGATAGAATATTCTAGAATTTTTTCAGATTTTTTGAATGCCATTAAATAGGGAAAATAGGGTAAAAACCACTTTTTCTTTCTTACCCTGTAACTACCCTCCCGGTTGAGATATAGGGTTGAAATTTGGTGAAGAATGATTTTTTAGATAATTATTTAGAAGTTTGCCCTCCTCACCACTTTTCGTGACCTTGAAATATGTTGTCAAGGTCATCATTCTGAACAACTTTTTCCTATACATGTTACCGCCGCTCGGTCTTAGTTTCCGAGATATTTGCAAAAATCTTTAGTTAAACTTATTGTTAGGTTACAAGTACAGTGCATTTCGGGAAAAATGGAAGTGGTTTGAGGTTAGGGTTAGGGTTAGGGTTTTGTTTTTGATTTTTTCACGTTATAATTACTCTTTCTTTCACCTTTTATATATTGTATACCTGTTATTCATTTTGTGTTTCGTCAGAAATCGGAAACATTTCGGCCATCATGTCGAAAAATGCCATTATACGCTAATTAACATCATGTTGACGTCGGAATAAAAACTCAGCTATATATCCCACGTAATAAGACGTACGAGTTCCATAACGAGGAATATCAGCTCTCGTATCACGCCATGTACACTCTAAACCTAACCCTAACCCTAACCTCAAACCACTTCAATCACTCTATCAATCACCATTCAGTATCCATTTTTTCCGGAATACAGTGTACTGGTGACATAAGTATAACTATAGTTTTTTACGAATATCTCGGAAACTAAAGCCGAGCGGCGGTAACATGTATAGGGAAAAGTTGTTCAGAATGATGACCTTGACAACATATTTCAAGGTCACGAAAATTGGTAAGGAGGGCAAACTTCTAAATAGTTACCATTTTTTATTATAAGCTATAAAATGGTGCATTGCTGAGTAAAATCGGCTCAAGGGCACTTTTGACCATCTTATCCTGCTGTACCCTTTACCTAACAATAAATGGTAAGTCGTCCTTCGAATCAATAAACGCTCATTCGTGTGTTAGAATTTAAAATAAGCAACAATTTGTTATTCTAACAACTAACAACTGGAATGACTTATGAGAACCTAATGAACAGGATCAAACTTTGAAAACCAGTTATTCCTCATCGTATAGCAACGTAGCAAATATCAAAGAATATCCAATCATATTCAGCATGATTGTACACTTGAATTTCTAGATAATTCCAGGAATTCTCTTCAAACGCAATATGTTGTAGGAATTGTCTGTCCAGATTGCTTTCAACCACTTGTTTGTCAGTTCTCAACCAGCGTTATCTCTCGAGACGTTGAATGTCCACGACGATCAAGCACGACGATCTCCAGTTTGCAGCATGGTTAAAAGTTAAAAGCTAGCCCCGATGCGTCTTCGTAAGTTTTCTCTCTTTCTCCCCCTCTCTCACTTTTTCCCTCTGAAGGAACGAGAGCGATAAAGTTTGATCAGCGTCGAGAAGGGACGAGTTTCGCGTGGATTTAAAGGGCAACGTTTCAGCCTAAATCTTGGCTGCAGTCGTGGCGCTAAGTCTGCCACCTTACCAAAGAACCTTCGCGACTTACGTAAAATCGATTTGGAAGCTCGAAAGCTCGTTCAGCTCGCAGCTGGATTCTCGCAACAGCCATGCAAAGATTGAATGGAATAGAGCCGGTGTATTCTAACGATAAGCCCTCGCTCTATTGCACCAAGTTCCTCACTCTTATAAGACGAAGAATATTCATGTTGAAGAGTGTAAAGTCATCGGAAGTAGTCGTTTGTTGAATTCCTGACTACTTCCGGTGACTAGCGATTATAAAGCTGCAAATAATGTAGAGGTTAAATTGCAGGCGCTCAGTCGGAAGTAGTCTTATATCTATTTTTTCAGCAGAATTTAACAATATATTATCTCGATATGTTGCATCGTGTGCAGAGAATTCTATGGTGGCTCTAGACTACTTCCGGCTGGCCAAATGAGTACAAACCCGACGATAATAGATATCGTGAATGCAGGCTCACCGTTCTTCTGGCCAGTCGGCCATTGTTCGTTCATCGAATAGAAGAGGAGGACGGTGGTGGTGTTTTGTTAAAGGTGATGTATTATTTTTTTTTTTTTTTCTGTTTTTGTTCATAATAGCGGATATGGTGATCGTGATTGGTCTCGGCGATCGACTCAAGCGGTCTCCGATACCGGAAGCGGTGGCTGCCCACCGGAAGTAGTCATGGCAGGCGCGGTGTTGGTGGTGGTGGTTGGGACCGGAAGTGGCTGTAGAGCCTGCATGTCACAGGTGTGGGAACCGCGCTTCTTTAGGTCCTGGAACAATTCGCATTTCGGAAATGTTTCAATTTAGATCCTTCGTCCATTATCTTTCAAGTTTTTCATCTTTTTTTTTTTTTCTCTCTATTCTCTCTCATTCTCTCCTTTGCTTTCATTCGACACCAAACACACCAATCTTTCTCTCTCTGTGTCTACATTTCTAGAGCAACTATATAATCGTAATAGGCGAGATTTACAAACTATATTCATCTACGTCTCCTCTCTCCCTCCCTCCTCTCCATAAATCTCTCTCTCTTTTCATCTGTGTATTCTCTTCAACGTCCAACACTTCTTCGTGTATTTCTCTCAAGCTCCTCGAGTACCATTTTTCTGGATTTCAACACAAATGTCCCGGCGACAAGCTGCTTTCTCGTCGCTAAGTTTCTTTTTTATTTATTTTTTTTTTTTTTTTCTTCGAATGAAATGGAATGAGAGATGCGATTCTCGCGTGACTTCTAACCCCGTGGCATCGAGTTCTTTTTTTTTGAAATTCAACATCTCGCGATATTTTCAGAAACAGAATTTAACGAATCATCAATGCCACAGGATCGTGTTTGACGTTTCCAGGTTTAAGATTTAAGCGAAGTTAAGATCGAATCGAAGAGAGATGTTCGAGAGGAAGGGGTTAGAATGAAAGAGACACGCGAGCCACGTGCATAGGCTGTTTCAAGAAAGAGAAAAAAAAAAAATAGAGAAGAAGAAAACAGAAGATACATGCGAAAGGTACAGTGATAAACAAGACAAGAACGATAAATTCGGATAAAAAGCGGACACAACGGTGCTACGAAACACAGTCAGTCCAACAATATCGTAACAAAGATATAACAAGAACAATTTTGTATTCATAGTGACAGCGAAGAGAAACAATCGGTGAAAAAAGTAGTATGGTGTGGTGGAAGAGATAGGTGAACGATCGATTCAAAAGCATGCCAGGTGCAAGAAGAATGGTCGTTTCGACAAGCCGCTAGTTGCAAAATTCAAGAGTTTTTTTTTTTCACTCTTTCATAGTGGACTTTGTTTTAAGGAATTCTTTTTCTTTGTAGAGAGTGCTTGGCTCATGTACTCACGTGCAGTGTGTTTCGTACAGAAATTCTTGGCTCGAATTGGTTCATCGAAGGGAAACAAAAAAAAAAAGAAATCATAATGCGGTGCATCGTATATAAGGGTGCATTTCGAAAGTTGCTCAGAGGATATGGTACATACACGTCGAAGCTTCATCACAGCACATTGGTAGTTGGTTGAACTTTCGGTCGTGTGAAAATAATAAGCGGACCTGTCTATCAACTTGGCTTTACGTTGCCTTGTATTCCTACTGATCGAGGCATACTTCTTGTCTCGAACGCGTGTGCACGGATAAAACGTAGTCTCCAACGTAATGGTTCGCGTTCGAGTCGAGAAAAAAAGGGGTAATGGCGATTAATCGTTGGTCTACGTCAGCGACCGATTTATTTATGATACCTGGTTCCCTTTTTAACACGTTCACGATACAGTGGATCGCGTTATGACGCATTGTACACCCTGTGATTCATATATCATGCAACATGTGTGAAAATTATGGGTATGTAAGTAATGGATAGTGTTAGTATTTAGTACAGTTACGGTTCAAAAATAAATTGAAACCAGGAACCATACCGTTTACCATCGATCTCCGACACCAGTAATACAATTCAACGATAATAAAAAGAAATTTATCGAAAAGTTCAATAACCTTATCCAAATTCCTACGAAGCCTAGGTGAATCCTAATCGCAAATAAAAATGAACTGAATAAAGACGAAAATATAGAAACGAAGAATAATCGTCGGCTGCATGCAGAAACCTTCATAAATTCTGATGAATATCCTTCAACTGCATCTGTACACCGCAATGCGGTCCTCCATTTCAAACTACACATCGTGAATTATCACTCGAAGCTTGGAGATAATCAAAATCAATTTTTCTTCCCCTTTGTAACCAATTTTCAAACTATTTTCAATAAGAGATACGCGTGAATAAGCTTGTACTCGCTGTCGCTTTGCTTCCTCTCGCTCGTGACGCACGTAATACGAGTGTTGTTCTTTTTCGGCGGCACGTGTGCGCGGTATTTCGAATCAGCGATAGAATAAAGAGAAAAAGATTCGTCGCTTTGTTCGCGATGCTTTGATTCAGCTTTTCGGGGAGCTCGTCGTTTCGATAACTATATAACGGTATCGGTTAAATGGAAATGAATGATACTAGTAACGGGGACATTTTGTAAAGAGAACCTTTGTAATATGCCACAGTTAACTTTGAAAAGTGATATCTTGTAAGTATATGTAGTTACAGGTGAAAGGATAAAACTATGTAATAATGTGATTAATTATGTTTGTTGAATAATAATTAAGCCGCTTAATGGGGAAGTGGTTGAATACTGTGAGTAGTAAGAGAAGAAGAGTTCGATAAAATATAGTAATATTAGAAAGTTTACATTTTTTATATCTAAGCCACTGCAAATTTATATTTCAAAATAATAATGTCATTTTCCCTCGAAAATTGATATATAATTATTTTATGGAATATTTTACGTACTTATACTATTCTTGCACATAATTCCCTTATTTTTACATATTTTATTGTTCATGGAGAAATCAATGAAAATATGCTCACATCACTTTTTAAACTAAATAGACAAAAAATTCACTTACACCATTTTTCTATTAAACGGCTCGATTACAGATTTCTAACTCATATAGTTTAATAGTAAAAGTAAAAGTTCAAAAGGCTTTGAAAGTAGCATTTTATCCAAGTAATGGGGCAATATGCGATATGGGGTAAGCCTACGATTATAAACTAAGGATTAAAAATTAATGAAAATCAACAATACTTTAAATTAGTTAAAATAGTGATAATGAAAAATCTTCGAAATCAATGACTAAATCAATTACTATTTTCTGCAAAGTAAACAGTCCTCACAGTTTTCGGATAGAATGCACTTTTTATGCACCTATCATTTGCAACTATTTCAAAACTATTCTACCATAGTCTTTCGAAGCTTGCTCCTTCACCATCTTCATGGATCTTTAAAACTTTCTTCTAAATAACAAATACAGTTTGAATATTTTTTAGGCATGATTTTGAGAAGAAAGAATAACTATAGTGCATAAAATAAAAAAATGTTATACATTCAACTTTTATGGGTAATATGCCATTTGTGGCATATTATACCAACAAATAAGTGACATTTTACCCCACACGATCATAAAAGTATCGAAAAATCTTTTAGAAACCCCACAAATTTAGTAGAAGTTTGGGAATTTATACAATTCACTTAGTGTAGTTTATTATGATCTATTAATTAACTGCGTGGCTATTCGCACAAGTGAATAATCTGCATTCTAGTTAGAGCATAAAATAACATCATGACGATAGATTTATAACTTATAAGGATTAATTGGAAATGGACGAAAATAAAAGTAAATATTTATCGTCCCATACACGGTTATCTTTGAATGAAATAAGAAATTATTTAAATGTGGCATATTACACCGAGTTACCCTAAAGAAAATAAATTTTTCACCCTGATGGTTCTGAATTTGAAATTTGAAAGTGAAATACCATCAGTTACCCAGGTCTGCGCTGTGAGGATCAATCTTCCAATGGTCTCGCCACTAACACCTAGCCGAAATGAAAAATAAATGATGGCTCTCCAATGACCATGCGCCACGGCTGATGCATACGTTTCTGCGTTGCTCGAATTGCATCCACGCAATACAAGAAAAACGCATTAGGAGCAACCGAGTAAATTAATCATCGAGTGGCGGTCGACAAGGATGAGATGGGCTCGCTTATTAAAGCCAGTAGAGAAGGCCATTAGTCGCAGCACGCGCCGTGGAAAGTTTAAACGGGCAAGCCGAGCCGTTAAGCGAACCGTCGTAAAATAAATCGTAGGGGCGCGATGGCGAGACATTAGAGGTGCTCGACGAGGCGACGAAAACTCCGCTTGAAAGTTTGATTTTAGAGACGGTGAAAATCGGAGTTAAACGTCGACATATTGAAATACAAGGAAATATAAAGATTGCCCGTCGTTCTACAGAGTGTCCTAAGTTATATAACTTACGAGACTTAAAAACTTCACTTAACTTCGACCAACGACGAGCTCAACAATTTATTATTCGACTCAATCATCGACCTTCGTATAATCCTTTTCGAAACACCTGATGAAGAAAAATGAGCGAAAGGAAGACGTGACAGCAATCTAGCTAGCAGACAAGCTATTTCCCCTCGCAAACTTTTGTCACCAGCATCTTTTTATCCCTCTAAAAGTAAGAAATTGTACAACTGTTAAACAAAGAAAGCAGATAAATAAACTTCCAAGTTTTACCATGATCTCCTCTTTTTTCTGAATGCTTAAATTCAAAATTATTCAATTGTTGGCAATCTAAGCGCGATATTGCTGAATGGTAGACTAACTTAAGAAAAGAAACTGAAGCTAACAGCGGGTTTTCAAGCGACAAGGAGGGGAATGAAAAGTTGGATAAAAGTAGGAAGAAGAAAATACGTGTTTTGCTTAGTTGCAGAGAAGGAGAGGAATCAGAGGGAAGCGATGAAGCATTGCTGGATCACCAATGCATAAATCAGAAGCCAGATCAAGAATCAGCCGCAACACGATGGATTCCAGTTAGGCACCATGCCAGATGGGTTCCGTGTCCGGAAGGACTTTTGCCGTTTCTCGTTGGGAAATGGATGGCTGCGATAGAAAGGGAAAGTTCGGGGGTTAGATCGACCAAAGTGTTAAGAAAAGAAACAGAATACTTTTTATAGGATAGAACTATCCATGGAAATATTGAATTCTTAGCAAAATTTAATCATTCTACGCTTTAGAAAGTAAGAATGAAAAAATGATCTGAATTTCTTTTTATAAATTCTATAAATAACAAGCGTTTGATTTAAAGTTTAAGGAAAAGGTATGAAGAAACATGGACAGTTCTTGATGGTATAGGAAAAAAAAATTGGAGAATTTATGATAAATAGAAAGTGTTGCGGTATCGGTATAAAGAAGCAAAGGAGAAGTGTTTCTCAGGGAAAGCAGACACCCAGAAGCCAATCCAGGGATCAGCCACCGCGACACGATATACTCTCGACCACCAAGGGGATGCATGGGGGAGGCCTTCATCTGTCCTTCGTCCTGATCCTTCCGTCGAAGGATAAGAAAAGGTGCCTCATATTCTCCCATCGGTCACACAAGTATATTTTATAAACATCTTGGGAAATTGCGCGTGTGCACGCGATCGTACGCGTTCGTCGCACTGTGTAATATGTATGTTTGCATAGAAAAAGACATGTGTCCTGGGATCTGAGGGTTATTTCATCCCTTAACCCGATACATTTGCTATGAAAACTTTATTTTTGTTCTCCGACCAATAAATTTCATGTGAAACGGTAAGCATCAAATTAATATGCCATAAGTATTATTTTACAATATTTTTATGTCATAAAATTATATTAAACTGTTTATGTTTTCAAATAAACAAATGCCAATGGAAGAAAATTATAATATTCTTGGAAATATTAATAAATCCCCAATTCCACATCTCGTTATAGAAACAACACATTACACACGAGAAACACATAGATCGTGGCAGGCACAAAATACACTTAGACGATATTCTTAACACAGTTATGTAAATGTACAATAATGATGATCGTGTCCAAAATTGTTGTCCAGGTAACACGGTTTTCTTTACCTTTTTCCGTACTTGTATACGGTCTCCATATACGAGCACCACTCTATCCTTGCTCTCGTTCGAGGTGAGCTGATAAGACAGGCTCTAAAATTGGACGTGATTTTCAGCGGGCCATTGTTTTGAAGCGCCGCGATTCAATATACATATATACACATATATCATATATTTTTTATTATTTTCAATACGACATTTCGTTCGTCATTCGTACACCATAGATTTGTATTTCGTTTTTATTTTTTTTATTTTTTTTTTTTTTCAATTGGTTCCATCGTTAGCGTGTATATTCGTTATCGTGTGAACGTTGTTTGTTCGAACGTCGTCCAAGCGTGCAAAAAATGGGCAAAAAGAAGAGAGAGCGGGCGAGAGATAGAGAGAGAAATCCACATCGGGGGTTCATTATGAATTTCGCATGGTTTCACGTGGACGAGTCGTTTATTCGATGTTTGTGTTCCATTTTTTTCCCCCAGTTGTTTCCATTTGTCATTTTTATTTGTTTTTTTTTTTTGTTTTGTTTTGTTTTTATTTCCATGATAGAAGAACGAACGGATGAACAGAGAAGAAGATGCCAAGAAAAAGAGGGTGTTGATTCGCAGCGGGTAGGATGAGACAGGGACGTTAGTTTGATGACCAGCGACGATGATGATGATGATCGGTCGGAGTGATGCGATGTCATCAGTAGGTCCGGTTCCCATGTGGATCACGGCGGTCGTCGATGAACGGATGGCACGGAAATGAGGAAATAGAAGAATTTCATTGATTTAGAAGCGTGTACTTTACACTGTGTATGTCTTGTGTCAATTTTGATGCTTATATTATGTACATATATATTTTTTTTTTATTTTGTTCTCGTTACGACTATGTCGTTAACATTCCTGGCTCGGTGTTTTTGTTTCTTCCTTATCCTTTTCTACACTTTTTATTTATTTATTTTATTTTTTTTTTTTTTCATTGTATTCATCTCGTCCGAGTGTTTTTAGTGTGTCCGATCGACATGAAACTTGTCTGTAATACGCATCTCGTGTTACCTTTCCTTCTCGAAACGTTAGAGAGATAACATCTCCGTAAATCTGGTCTCTGTTAATTACTTTGTTCTACATCGGTCTGCTCTATCTCGATCTCGATTCATTTACATTTGGGATTCTGTAGGTTTTGGGCGTGGTTTAAGTCTAGACTGGCTAAGAAAGATTTAGGCCGTTCAGAACGAGGCCTCGACGAGGTAAGTCCCGTCCATCGCAGCCCCAGTCTGTCCCCCTTGGGCACCCGTTACTTGGGCCCTTGTCGCTGGGATGTACTGACTGTACGCCTGCTGAAATCCACACCACAAGCACACACTACATTGTTGCACGCTAAGCTCACCTACCCTAAATGTCTGTTCTACATCGACCATCTACCATCTATCTAATCGTCATTCTCGCAACCTAGACCAAATACTATACCACGAACCGGACAATACTTTCTCTACAAAGGTAAACGCTTAGGTGATTAGTGAATTGAGCCTAATGAAAAGGTCAGCTCAGAATAATTAACGGGTGATAATTAGGCAGTGAGAGACACCGACCAGTGGCCAGTGTTGGGGTACTACTTAGAGTTTTTCCGTTCTTTTTAAACACTTTCGCGTCTGCTATACTTCTGGTACAACGACTATCCCTACATGGATCGTCGATAGATCTGTCCTGAACCCTATTTCGACCAATCTAACCGCCAACAAATCGACGTCAGCTCGGAAGTCGAACAAAAGAGATACCTGTATATCCGGCTGCATCGTCTGCTGATGTTCGACTTTTTGGGAATATTGATTAAACTAGGCCGTGGAGAAACTTCTCTCGGCTCGGACATAATGCCGTGTTCTCTGTCATCGGAGAATGGAGTCTACGCAAACTTGGTCTTAATGTTTGCTCGTTTAACAGCCACTAGCTACGGGTGGTTTTAGTAGTCTAACGATGAGCATTGTTCAAGTGTCCGAGAGAAATGTTGTCTTGCTTGAAACATTAAGCAAGGAAATCAGATAGATTTATTCTTTTCATTTGGTTCGTTCTTCGAATATGAAATTTTTCACCGGTAAAAGAATAAGTATATCTTAGATTTTAACGACACAGGTGTTTCAAGTTGGACAAAATTCCACTGGAATAATGCTCGACAATCGTCACGCGAGCATCGATCATCCTATTCCCGGTGTACCGTTCGAAAGTAACGCGAGAACTAATTTGCCCCCGTTAATTCAGCGTACGGACCAACTTCCGCCCGGAACCAGCGCAACGATTCGAACTTAATCGTCGGCTTCAATTAAATTTAATTAATCCCTGTCCCGGCCAGCTGCGGACCTGGCTCCATTTTCCACATTTTTCCAAATGTTAAAACGCGTTACGATCAACGAGCAGCTAGATTTTTTTCGCTCAGAAACCATCGTAGAAAGAACTTAAATAGTAAACGAACGCTGTCGTCTTTCGCAAATAGCTTAATCTCGTAAACGTGTCTAGAGAGATTATCGATAAAAGATTCACTGAAAGAAAGTAGGTTAATTAGAAGTCGTTGATTGATAATCGATCGAGGAACGTCGCGAAAGTTCCTCGAACCGATCGAACAACCAAGAAGGACCATTGAGGTGTATAAGAAACGTCGTCTCGCGAAATACTAAAACCACCAGACAGGTCTTTGACCATTTATCAGAAATTGTACAGTAATATACGTTATCTACAGTGAGCAGACACTGTTCAAAATAGAATGCCTCGGTTAAAATTGGACTAAATAACTTGAGGTTTTTTGAGAAGCTATAAAAATTAATTCACTAAAATATGTATTTTCATCATTTCATCATAAGTAACCAAAATTTCTAAAAATTACGATTTTCGGAAATTTTAATAACTTATAAATGCGTTGACAGATCTAGATGAAATTTTCAGCATACACATAACTTATCTGAATCTACGAAAGACAATTTAAATTTTCATTATAGACTCATATAAAAAAGTTGAAAAATGACCATTCACTATTTTTTGTCCCGATTTCAACAAATTGTAATTTCTTAATGATAAAAATACATATTTTAGTGAATTAATTTTTATAGCTTCTCAAAAAAGCTCAAGTTATTTAGTCCAATTTTAACCGAGGTATTCTATTTTGAACATTATCTACTCACTTTTGCCTCTCACTGTAAATTTGCATCATGATTGGCCGGTCCAAAGGTTAATTAATCTGGCGATTTTAGTAAAATTTCCGCCTCGAAGGGTCACTGACACCGAGAGTTCTGAAAGGAAGGGTAAAGAGAAGAAACGAGCAAATTTTTCTTCAACTTTTTCCTCCCTTCATGAACAACTTTCGATTACATGAAAGAAAAACAGAAGGATATTAGAACACTTTGAACGATCTGTCGAATCGTGTCTGAAAATCGTGAAGAGGTTCGCATTCAAAACAATCCAGAAAACAAGTGTAGAATATAAGGTGTTAAGTGTGCGAAAGAACGAGAGAAACAGACTCGATATAAAAAAGAACATAACCCGAAACGATACTAATAATTTTGTAACTAGCAAGCTTTCAGGGGGCAACGATCCAAAAATAGACAGAAAAGTGTTAAAACAAGACGTTGACTTTGGAGTCTTACCTTAAACGGGCGAGAACTGTTTCTACGGGACGAACCAGGCACACAACAGGTGCCAACAGTGTGTATGTAGGTATATGTTACAAAATGTACAAATATATTTACAAATACACGTGGGAGGGTAAATTTGAAGAGTGAAATCTTTCAAGTAGATTTCTATTTGACATTTGCCCGCGTAGTTATTGGCGATATCCTCGAAATGTTTCCCGGCGTATTATAAAATAAAGGAAATTATATTGAAATTTGCAAAATCGAATCAGCGAGATATGAATTTTAGGGATCGAAATCCTCGTTACTTTGTTCGCGAGGAGATCGTTGAAACGCGGTTCGCGTAACAGACCGGATGCTAATATTACCTCGTTCAGCAGGGCAATTAACAGGCTTGGATACGGCTCGTAAAAATTGACAAACGACAGCCTGTCTGCCGCGACGTTTACAACCGATCCATTGGCCACTTACCTGTTGAACGATAATTAATTTCACCGCGCGTTGGGACCGACGTCGACGCGAGGATACGATAGACGAGGTCGGAGAGCGTTTGATAATTAGTATGGCCTATCAGCTCGCTGACGCTTTGAAAATAATTACGAACACCGGAAGCTAACGGAATCGATTAATCACGGTTCGATTAATCATCAACTCGAGCCGTAATCGACGCGAGCCGACAGGCTGTTCCGTATTAATTCACGATCGAATCTTCTTAAGCCTAAAGGCCCAGCCCTTTCATACCGGAAGAATCAATTTTCATGAATCTAGCTGAATCATGACCGACGAGGATTATCTACGTGATACACTGAACCAGCTGAATCAATCAATTACTTCTATTTAATCAAGCTTTAACAGGTTGACACTGTGATCGTCGGTGTTTCATCCTTGCACCGTGGTAGAACTCGAATTTTTGAAACAAGGACTATTTTAAGAAATAGTAAAAAAGATTTAGAAAATTATTTCTAAAATAATTCAACTGGATATACAGGTTCGTATACCGTAAATCTTCATCAGTCAGATACGGATTAATTGGGATTTTGCGTGGTCTGAAATGAATCTAACTTCAAGTAGTGAAAACAGTAATTAATCAGACAGAATAAGACTTGAAATTTCAACGCAACACCCGTATTACAAATGGTTTAATTAAATTACGAGCAGGCTCTTCTCCAAAAGGAACACCTTCTCGTGATATGTATCTTGCTTCTTAACCATCGAACCATTGAATAAAATATACACAGGTGACACGATCCACGTACATTATATACAATATATTTAATCGAACCAGCTGCATGTATATGTATATATATAGTGTCATATATAACGGAACCAATCAGTTTCCAATAACGATTAAGTGGAGCAAAACTTGAAGGGGCAGGGGGACAATAACGAACATCAACACCCAAAATAGAAGTCGACCGGCCTGAATATCGAGGCAGGTGCAAGCAACGAGTCCAAAAAAAAACTAACATCGAAATCTTATAAAACTTTTAATTATTGATTA